TATTTCACTTGGCATGATGTTCTCTAGTTCCATCCATTTACCTACAAATGCCATAATTTCATTTTTCTTTAAAGCTGAGTAAATATTCCATGGCATATATTTACTTTATCACATTTTCTTTGTTCTTTCATCTGTTGAAGGGCACCTAGGTTGGTTCCATAGTTTACCTACTATGAATCGAGCTGCTATAAACATTGATGTGGCTGTGTCACTCACTGTAGTGATTTTAAGTATGCTGATTTTAAGTCCTTTGAATATAAACCAAGGAGTGGGATAGCTGAGTCAAATGGTGGTTCCCCATTGATAGATTTTGTTCCATTATATGATGCTTTGTATTTTGTAAGAAAAAGGTAGGAGAATTTTTAGAAAATATAAAGCAAAGGAAAATTTATATATAAGTTAACAGAATTTCAGGAACTGAATACATCCTAAAACGTTTTGGAACTTGATTGGGTAAAATAAGTCCATGTGACTGCTACCCTATAACCTCTTGGATTTCAAAAATCAGTAACTTCTTGCCCAAGCTCCCTCCTGTACTGCTAACCTCTGTCCCCTTGGTCACTTCCTCAGATATTTACTTACATTTACTTGATGTTATTCGTCATCAATCTTTCCCTCATTATAAAAAAAAACACAAACTAAAATTTACCATGTGCTGTTCTAAGTGCTTTTCATGTGCTTGTGTCATGAAGCACTCCCAATGTGTTTTGCAGATGAGGACAACACATCAGAGAAAGCGAAATGGCCTGCCTGGGATCACACAACTTATGAATAACAGAATCAAGTTGAGAACCAAGGAAGTCTTTCCCCGGAGTACAGAGTCTTCACCAGCTCCTACTCTTCTACCTGTCACCAGATCTCTGTCTCTTCAACTCTGCCCTCCTTCTATTCACCCACTTCTTCAGGGTACGCCCTCCATTCAGTAATATTTAATGTGCACCCATGGAGCGGGCATACTGTGCTTAGGGTTAGGGTTTCAGGAGTTAAGGATGTGGATGCTGGAGCACAGTCTAGAGGTGTCAAGCAGGAGGTCATGGCGATGGAGAGTGGGGAGCAGGCAGTGCTCCCTAGGTCCTCCCTAGGCAAGGGTTGGGGGAGGGGTAGATTTCCTCCATGTCATCCTTCCTAGGGGAGTGCTGGTAGGCCAGGGAAACAGTACACTCTGAACAGCAGATGTACAGTCTACTAGCTGGAAGACTGAACAAATCATTTGAGCTCTCTTTTAAGTCCTGTTAAAAACAAAATAAAGTAAAAATGGATAACAGAGTGGCTCTCCAAACAGCTGTCCTTATCTTTCTTCCTTGATTATTTACAGCCAACTTCAAGGTTCCATTCTATGCCGGTAACTCCCCCTCTGTCTCTTCAGCTTGGGTCTTTTTTTTTTTTTTAATATTTTTTAGACATTGATGGACCTTTATTTTATTCATTTATTTATATGCGGTGCTGAGAATCGAACCCAGTACCTCACACATGGTAGGCAAGTGCTCCGCTGAGCCACAATTCCAGCCCATTGTGTCTTTCTTATGAGCCCTCCAGTTGGCCATCTGCACGTGGGCCCTGCTGCCAACCCAAACTTTGTATAGCTGCAACGCACTGCCTGGAGTTACTGCTGCCCACCTCTGTCGCTAAAACTGCCATTCTTCCAGAAATCCAGGGATGAAAATTCTTCTAATATCTCCCCTCCCTCCCCCCTGACATCTAATATCAGTCTATTTTCAAGTCCTTTTGAAGTCTCCTTTCCTTTACATTTTTACTAAATACGTTTGACTTCCTCATTTACCTATCCTAACTTGTCCCAATGCAATGGGAACTCAGCTTCCTAAATTGTGATGCCAGGTCAGTCATCCTGAATCACAGGATGGCCGCTCCTGGCCCCCCACGAGCTCTGCGGGCTCTCTCCCATCCTCTTCTCCCCACAGCCCCGAGGTATCCTGACTGCTTATGCCGTCCTCTGCTTGCGGATCCTGTTCTCCATTTCTGAAAGTCCAACTTCGAATGCTCCGTTCCGACACTTCTCCAGAAATTTTCCCCAGTCTTTTGGTTGGCAGCCACCTCCCGACAGGGGCAGCACTGTCACTCCTCTGAGCACCTAACTAGTTCTGCAGCTTATGGACTTTAATGCATCTTTTCTCTCCCACTGCATAGCAAAGTCTTTGTATGTAGACTCCAACTGTGACTCATTCCCATGTGTCTCACTGTTCCCAACACAAATGCTCAAAAATATAAAGTGTTTAAAATGTAAGACCGGAAAGACAGAAGATTGGGAAAATGGAATAGAAATAGCAATAGCATACTACTGACAGAAATTTCAGAGTGCCAACATTAGGCATCCCTCTCCATCTCAGGGATTTTCAAAGAAGGAAAATAACTGACTATTGTCACATCATGTTAACAAGGAATTTTTCAGAACAGTACCATGAAAGGGACAAAATATCACTTTACTGTTCAGAACCACATATTGCTGAGGTACAAATTAATGCAAATAAGGATTTTAAACAACACGTGCTTTTCTTTTTTGGCAGTATGGGGGACTGAACCCAGACCCCTGTGCATGCTGATTTAAGTGCTGTACCATTGAGCTACATCCCCAGCCCTTGAAAGAATTATTGTTCATCTAAATGAAGCAAAGGGAAGATCAAAGAGGTAGAGATGAGCTAAAGAATACATTAATAAAAATATATTCTCTAATTTTTGCCATTACATGGCAATCCATGGAATCTCAAAATCACACCTTTAAAGATGTTGTGTCAAACTGGGTGCTGTGGCACCTACCTGTAATCCCAGCAGGATGGCAAGTTCGTGGCCAGGCTGGGAAACTTAGGGAAACCCTGTCTCAAAATAAAAAATAAGAGCTGGGATGTACCTTGGTGGTAGAACAAACCTGTGTTCAATCCTGAGGTCCACAAAAAAAAAAAAAAAAAAAAAAAAAAAAAATTGTACTGATAGTAGCCATAGGAGGCAAGCCTATCTTTTTAAAAAACAAGAATTTAGCCAGCTAAATATCAAGAGTTTGCATGAATATTTAGAAAAGCATCCTTAAGTAGAAAATAACAGAAATTTAAAATCAACTACCATATAATTGAAGATACAAACAGATCAATTTTGAGCATAATTCTCCAGACCTTGTCAGTTCCAAAAGAGAAACGGATGGACATACTTTTGTTAATGTTAGCTGTTTTACTATAACTGTGGAGATATGCTTCTAGTCTCAAAATGTTCATTTCTTAGGTTGGGGATGTAGCTCAGTGCTGTAGAACACTTCTCTAGTGTGAGCCAAGGCCACAGTTTGATCCCCAGGCTCACACAAGAAAAAAAAAAAAAAGTACATTTCTTTAATGGAAGGGAAGTAAGATTTTAGAATCCATCTCAAACATGCCTGGATTAGAGACCAAAGAAAATGAAAACAAATCCAAATGCCACACCCATACCTATCAACCCCCAAACACAAATAGTGCAACTCAATAAATGGAGCATTTGGTTAGGTGGTTACTAATTTGGGAATTTTGTCCTAACCTTTATGTGTACTGCAAAACAGTTTACACTAAATCTTCCCTCAGCAAATAAGATAGTATAGGAAATAAAAAATTCCAATCTACAAAAAAAATAACCAATTCAATTCCACAGTGAAATAAGGCAGGCCCTTGGCAATGCTTTAAAGAAATGAGTATTTCAGGGGTCACAGGGGTGCAAGCCTGTAATACCATTTATTTGGGAGGCTGAGGTCAATAGCAAATTCCAGGCCAGCCTGGGCAACTCAATTAGTCCCTGTCTCAAACAAAAAATACAGGCTAAGGATGCAGCTCAGTGGTAGAACATCTGCCATGCATGCTAAAGGCCCTGGGTTCAATCCCAGCACTGTGAAAGTAAACAAATAAATTTTAAAGTGAATAAATAGGCTGGGGATGTACTCAATGGTAAAGTTCTCCCAGGTTCACTCCCCAGTACAGCAAAAAAAAAAAAAAAAATGTGTTTTTTTGTTTCGCAATGCTGGGGATCAACCCAGGACCTTGAACATGCTAGGCAAGCACTCTACTACTGCGCCACACCCACAGCCCGTTTTTTTTTTTTTTTTAACTTTGGTTACATAGCATGAAATTTTTGTGTTCATGAAGAGATAAGGGGCTTCTGAGGAAGTTAAATAGAAACTGGTTTGTAAGACCTCCATTACAGCAGATAACAATTTCAAATGCAACTTCTGGTTGAACTTCAAGGTTGGATACCATAATTATAAATCACCTTGGATAAAATTTAATTGATAGACAGCTATTACTATTTTAAATCACCGTCAGTCTGACCCTAAAGACCATGAATATATCTCCCAAGAGTTGCTGCTAAAACTTAAGAATTGAAAAATACATTTAATAACAAAGGGGAATTAAAAAAAAAAAAAACCTTCCTTAGATTAGCAGCTTCATCAACATCCAGGCTAAGAAAATTATACTAAAACCAAGGGTACTTCACAGCAAGATTTATTAATACATCCAAAAGAAAGAAAGAAAAATCATTTTGTCACACTATATACAGATAATACATACAGTGTTTTATACACATATTACATCAGTTTTTACACAAGAAAAATATACATAAAAATGTAAACTTTTGTATACAAAAACCCTTAAACAAATTAAACAAGGACCAGATAACAAAAGGAGACCAATCCATTATTATTTCATCAAATTTTTAAAACAGTAATACAGTACATTCATTGAGATATATATGGAAAATGTGAGCCATCTCTTCTTGTTTAAAGGGAAATTACAAACCCCAAACCCATCATCTCCCAAAATGTGTTCTCTGCCAGCAACACTACCCTCTATGCCACAGACATGCCTTTCTAACCCACACAGGCCCCACCAAAACCTACCACCTCCTGTCTTCCTTCTGCGGTCTGCAGAAATGAGTGGCTCCCAATTTTTGTGCATATGACCAAGCTTGTAGCCACACCATTAACTCAAACACAGAGGAGAAGATTCTTGGTTCGTAAATTCCCTTTAAGCAGCTTTTTTTTTTTGTTTTGTTTTCTACATATTTTTAATGTATGGCATATTAAACATACTTGTGTGCCAAGGTGAATGAGAACACTGAAAAAGAAGGGCTTAGAGAACTGCTAGTCCTTGCTACCGTGCAGTTACTTTGTTAGAAGAGATTTTAAAACTGTCCAACCTGTCATTCACTGGTTTCTAATCAGCCACCTCACCTTTGATTTCCCACTGCAACTTGGTTTCAACTTCGGCTTCAGTACTGTAGTTAGTGCCAAGAGGCTTTTTGTTAAAGGCTGCTTCTGATATCAAGTTCCAGCTAAGATACTCTGTAAAATCATTCCAACCCCAACCTCTCCATTTAGTCTTCTGGGGTTCCCATACTCCATTTTTACCCCCTCTAACATCTTACAGTTTAGGATTGTCCATCTACCTTCCTCTCTCTACATATTCTTGAGATGTAATCTGCTACCAACTCATCAGGAAATAAAATAATATTCAACAGCTAATTTTTTTTCCTTTATGTTCTTGCATTCAGTGTGTCAAGCTGATCTACTAATGAAAACTACCTGAAGCTGTGGGGAATAAAAATTAAATGACAAACACATGCAACTTTGAGTTCTTTGTTTTGTTTTGTTTTTTTTTAAGAAAATGATTGGGAAGACCTTTAACTAAATAAATGCAAAATGTGCTTAAGACAGCTTCCAGAGAGAGAGCTGTCTTCTTTCAAAGCTGAATTTTGAACAAGGCAGAATAACAACTAGGTGATATATTTCCCTGCAGCGAGAGAGTAGTTAACTTCCCTCCAGGCAAAATGATCTCAATGATCATCATTTATTAATGAAAGGAAGAGGCAAACTGGTGAATTAAGTTGATCTAGAAGATAGTGGATGACACACACTAATGGAAATATTAGGATTGTTTTATAACTGAAACAAACAGGCTGTGCTGTGGTACATCTCCATCTCAGAGAGGAAAAAATGCACAAAGTTCTTCAAGTGAATCTTGTCTTTCATGGGATAGATGGCATTTTTTAAAACGGTCTCCCTTTCAGTTAAACAAACATAACAATACAAGGAAAAGGAAGATAAATAAATAATGTGTGGATGTCTTTAGATGAGACTTTTAAATGTTCTTTAAATAATTTTTGATAATGTATTTAAAATCATACATACAACTGCCATTGCAGCGACAATATTCCAGTAGGGGCAGCATTTTGCTAAATGTAAAAGATTGCCATTTAAAACTCATACATATACATGTGTATATACAGTTATATCAACACTATTTATATACATATATATCTAGAGAGCAACATTTCATTGCCTTTGAATATCTATACGTCCACTCCCACATACTGTGTGAGTATTAACAAAGTGTATGTACACATGCTCCAACATGTATATATACACTTTTGTCTGTGTGTGCATAAGAGATTTAAAGGCACAATATAGGGATGCGAGTTTTCTAGAGAGCTGCAGCAAAGTTAAAACAGAATGTCACACTGTGAGATAAGTCAAAAGGAAATATGGCAGAATTAATTAAAGCAGTTTCAACATGAGTAAAATGAGTTACAGAATTCAAGAGGCTTACATGTGATTTTGTATGCTTTCCTTTAAAATGCAAATGGTAAATTTATAATTCAATCACAAAGTAAATCAAACTATTTGCTGACAGTAAATCAAAATACTTATGTGTTTTTTTCAAAGTAAGTTAAATAACCAGAAATTATCTAGGTAAAACTTTCTAAATTAGTTTTGTTTGAATGTTGCCTTTTTTTTTTTTTCCTGTTTTTGAGACAAAGATGACTACCAATTCTCAAGAGTACTGTAGAAAATACTTCTATCTTCTGGGAAAATTCAGAAATAAATATCTTTAAAAGAAACAACTGAGAAGTTACTGAAATATGTTTAAGTCAAATGCTTCTAGCTTGAAAGGACATAATTATAGAGGAAAAAAATGATGTGTGATTTTGCTTTTCACTCATGAGAGATTAACTAGCAGAAGGTAGGGACGATAAAGAGAGTGGAACTGTGAGTAAAAATAGTTAGACATCATTTCTGACAGCCTTAAGACTACAATCCAAAGGACTTGCATTTTAGTATGCTCAGATGATGTACTCTAGAAGGTTACCTCCTCTGGCTTACAGAATAATCCAGAATTTTCTGTAGATGTATAATCCTGCTTAACAAAGGCTGTTACCTATTATACACACACTTTTTTTTTAGGGAAATATATGTATATAGCTTTATCTATACACACACATATACATACGTGTATATATAGATTTATACAAATGTATAAATAAACATAATACTTTTCAGTCTTTCCATTGACAAGGCAAATTCACATTCAGCAAAGTGCCACCACATCCCATATACACATCTCTGTACAGATATACACAAAAGGGTCTGTCTTTACCCTTCAATCAGGGGGAATTTATTCTAGCAAATTCCATTAACCAGCAACTGAAGGGAGAAATGGCACCAATACAAACTCCCTTCTTTCATTTGCATGCATATGTACAAGAAATGCAGATTTTTAAAATCCAAAAGCAAGAGCGAATGGAACTGGGAGATGCTACAAAAATAACGATACAACTGTAAAAGAACAACATATAAAGCTTTCCTAGGTCTTAACTGTATCCAAGAGGAAGTCAATGAAGCTTCAAGGAGGACTACAAATGCGGATGCGGTATCAGAAGTTGTTTTGACATATCTCAAAGCACATGATTTTTTAATATTAAAAGTAAATATGACTGGGACACTTAATAACTCTAATTTTGACTATTTTATATCACCAGATACTCTAGTAAAGAGTAAAATGATAACTAAAACTCAAAGGAATGTTTTTTAATTCCACACCAATCAGGTAAAAGTCAAGGGTAGCATAATTTTTCCTACAGCAAAAAGATGGGGCTCTCTAACTTCCTAATTAATGGTACAACTGAATAAATTTTTTAAAAATGCTTTGGAAATAACTGAAATCACCCCAGCTTTGAAATATGAATGGTGAAATGATCCCAACAACTCCCCTTCAAAAAAATTCTTTATAAAAGGCCTTAATTTTTAACGTCAATGATCAATAATATTTTATTACTCAGAATATTAAGGAAAACTATTATTAACATAAAAGAGGTTCAACAGATCTCTGGTCCCATCACCCCAATAGATAAACACAGATCCTGTCTGGGTCTGTCTATCTGTCTCTCCCTCTCTTGCTTTTATGTTAAAAAATGAGAGGCTGGTCTTAGAATCTGCTGTTTCTCATGTCACTTAAAAAAACATAAGTTAATCCAAAAGTTAAAATAAAACGTACATGATATCAGAGCTTGCCTTTTAACATAATATAACATAATGAAGAATTTGGTATATTTATACAACAGAGACAATGAGAAAGTTAACTCTTAACATCCTCAACTAAATAAATCATATTTCTACAATACATTCGGTTACCTTTCTCTATTTGTACATTAGCACACATTCATCTCTCTCACACACGTGCCCCAATGAATATTTTTGCATGTGTGTAAAAACATATACATGCACACAAGTAATTTAATTCTATTTTTAAGTCACAGTGGGAATTCCTTAGTGAGGAGGGATAAAAAAGTTCCTGAATAAGACACTGAGAACATCTAGACTTATTTTCTCTATTTTACTTCCCAACTTACAGAATAAACTGTAAATTAAAGAATAAATCCATAGGAAATAAAAGAGGTCTTAAAAACTTAGTTTACAAATTCCAGCTACAGTAGTTGGAGTTTTACTTGATCTATGTATTTCTATTTACCCTGTAACTAAGCTTCTAGCCATCTTAAGTGTAAACCACAGATCATTTACTAAAGAACATGATTCTCAACAGTTCTATGAACAATAATAAATGGTCTAAAGGTGTTCTACATTTTGAGGCCCCAGGATATCCTTTTTATTTTATATATCTGCAAGGTAGCAAAGGATAGCTATACACCTTGACACGGCAGAAATCCAGTGTAAAAAGGTGCTTACTAGTTTGTCAAAAGAAAAAAAAAAAAAGCTCATATATAATTTTTTTTTTAGCTATTAAACACATAGGCAACATAATTCATTACACTCAATACAGCTTTAGTATAAAACTTATAATTTATGAGGTGATGTTAATAGCATAAATTAATATACCTTTTCTCTTAAAATCTACAATAAGTATTCTGAAAGCTCATGGGGGAAGGAAATTTTTAAATAAAAGTTTTAAAGCTGTGCATGATGGGAAAGGATTCTGTATGCTGAAGCTGAGATGAGAGCCTGAAGTAGAAAGGAAAGAAGTCCTAGGCGAGACACCGTGGGCTACTAAACCAAAATGTTTTCTCTTTCTTGCTCTCTCTTCAATGATGAGTCACCTTTAGTTTCTTTTAAAATTGTTTTCTTATTTTTAAAAACTGCCCTAATTTCCACAAGGAATCCCTGAGACATACTCAATACTATACAGTGAAAAGAACTGCCACTGTTGAGAGGAACTGATTCAACCCTTCCAAACAGATGAAACAATGTCAGCAAGTGTCAAGCTTTTCTTCATTTCAACACTAATCCGTTGGAGCCAACTGTACCTTAACGATGCAGGTTGGAGTCATTTCAGGGCAAATCAGTCTATTCCCCAAGTAAAAGCAAAGGCGTGACATTTAGCTGCATTGGAGCCTTCTGCACTGCGTGTTGAAAACTTTTCCATGGGGAACTTTGGGTGCATATAGAGCTTACTTCAGTGGTCCCCAGCTTAAGAAAAACAAACAAACAAAAACAACAACAACAACAAAAAAGTGAAAGAAGAGGATTCTATTACTCTTCGGCCAAGATCAGTACAGAGTATGTGTGCACGTGCATACTTTAGTACCGGGGATGGGCAGAGGCAAGCAGGCAGAAGGGAAGAAGGAAAGCTGTGCTGCCCAATACTGCTTACTAGGAGTTCATATTTTTCTCTAATGGGACTGTGTCACACTAAGCTTTAGATCACCCAAAACTCTGCTCTTCAAACTACCCAGACATTCCTGATACTCAGGAACTTGGAGTAAAGAAAGTCACACCAAATTTGCTCTCTGTCTGAAATGACACTTCTTTTCTTAATCCTGTATCAAAGCACAGAGAGAAAAGATAACAAAAAAACAATTGGAGTGAAAAAAAGGCTTCCTAAGTTTAAACCACATTGCAGCTTTAATTAATGCTGGTTATCAAAGAGACACAACTATTCATATATGCTTATGTTTTCCATTCTAACCACTGGTCAATGGAAAATGCTTAGCAGATTATCAATACATGTTTTTCACAGGTATTTAAAATTTTACTTTAATTTACGAAATATGATTTTGGCTCACTCTATAATATGATATAGGAAAGCTTATAAAGGCCAAGATATTAAGAAATCATCAAATTGTTTCACTTTTGTATAGAACGTTAGTGAAGATTCAGTCATTTTCAATTTATTGAGGGGGAAAATTAAAAAATTTAATTGTAGACGGACACGATATTTGCCTATTTGTTATTCTTTATAATTTATTTTTATGTGGTGCTGAGGACCGAACCCAGTGCCTCATACTTGCAAGGTAAACACTCTACCACTGAGCTACAACCCCAGTCCTAGATGTTTATTCTTGAATTAATATATACACATGTGTATATCTGCATACACCATGTGTATATACATGTATACACATACATATGGGTATATATGTATATATCCCCCTAGAAATATACTTTCTGTCAGGAAAAAAAATCTTTAGAACAATGTAGGTTTTGGTGATAAAACAGATACAAATGAAGTATGATTAAATTTTTTTCCAAGAAATCCTCTAAATTGCCTCATTAAGCTGGAGAGTTCTGTTGACCATTTAGCAGACCATTCTATTCAATCATTCTCTATATGACAGATTAAGAACAGAATTTAATAGAATTTTTAAAAAAAAGGATGAAGAAACTGAAAACTAGACACGTAAAAATTTTTAATGAATTTTAAAACGCTTAAATAATTAGTTTAGTGTTAATATCCTCATCTTTTTGAGATACCAATCCACAACATTTTGAACTAAATTTTTTAAAAGAAGGAATAACCTCATACAGATATTGCTGATGAAGCTGATCAACCATCACTAGCCTCCCATGGTGTAGGGCACAGAAGGGATCCCAGGCAGGATCAGCAAACCAACAGAAAGGGATTGAGACCTGTGTGCTCAAATTCTAATGCCAATTTATAAAAATTCCATGCTATAGGTCAATGGAAATGTAACTTCTTCCATATAGGATGAACCTGGGATGGACAGGGGCACCTGTGTGTAGCTTGGACACAGTTTCCTTCCTGATCCAAGAACTGCCTTTGCCACTGTGGATTGTAATCATGTTTTGAGGACAAGCCCTGATAAGGAAAAGTTTTAGTGTTAGTCAAGAAAATGGTGATCTCTAACTTCAGCTGAGAGATTGGGCTTCTTTAAGAAATAAATCTTATAAATAGTATTTGGCAAAGATAAAGTATTAGCTTTCTTTAATCTCAAGCCACTAAAGACAATAACACCAATTTTAATGAAAATAAAATAAAAAGTCACTTTCCAACTTTATCTCCATACCTACCTATTTGCTTCTCATTACATTATAATCTTCTCATAGAGGGACACTAGACACAGCACACACTGCCTGCCAACATGAAATTGCTCAGGAAGTCATTTATAAAGTAGGCATATTACACATGGTAGGTTTACTAGAGAAAATAATCCTTTGCTGTGTAAGCTATGTGACAATAATTAGAAAAATTTTCCATTGCATAGTCTGTCACTTGGTGGGTAAAGTATAATTGCTATTCACTGTCCTGAATTGTTGACTAGCTACATAACCTACGGAGATATGAACATTGCTAAGCCATTTTTACACAGGAAAAAACAACGTCTTAAGTACTTTTATTAAAATAATATTAACAGTTAAAGGAGAGAAAGCCCGTCTTTTCTTCAGATGCTATAGATCACAGTCATAAGTATCAGATCCTCAGAGCACAGAACACATCCATTAACTGCAGCAACTTTGAAAATTAAATCACAGTAACACAAGCTAACTGGCCTTTATAAATGGTCCCAAAGAACTGCAGAAACAGAGTGAATCTTCTGCCACCGTATCTCATACGTTGAATACTAGAATAAAAGCTAGTTTCTACCTAAATAGGACCTTATATAAAACTTGTTTTTGATTCCAGTATTGCCTTATGATAACACAAATGTTATTTTAAAAGACACCAATTTTAAAAGACACTTCATTTCTTTTTTTTGCATATTAATAGCAAGCCTACTAATAATAGGACTAGAACTGCTCTGAAAACTAGAACAAAACATAATGGATATCTCTGGGCTTATAGATGTTCTTCTCTCTTCACAAGAAACAGCAAAGCAAATTGTAAGCTTGGATATTTGTTTTGAAGTAGATGAAAAGAGGAAAAGTTTGTTTTTGCTAATTATTCAACCCTACACTGGTACTTTCTAAAAGTGCCCTTTCCTCAGCTATCATGGTGGGCATCTAAAGTGAATTTCCTCAATGTTTTTGGTGTGAAGCTGTAACTGGCAACATTCCTGATCATTTTCATGCCTCCCAACTAGAAAGCAGAGAAGGGCTTTTAAATGCACATAAAACAGAAAATTGCAAACAATAAAATGTGCAACTTACTGCAAACTCAGTTTTGATAACTGAAGATTTTTAAGCAGCTAATACGAGGGACAAATAGCCAGAAATAGTTCAAATTACCTACCCATGACCTGCCCTTTGCTGTCAAGAAGGGCTAATAAAAAGTCTATATGCTACTGCACTACAACCTTTAGATAGTACACAATGCAGACAAAATGAAATTGATGGGAATTCAGTGTTACCTAATGATGATGACAATGGGATGTGAAAATAGCACAGCAAACTAAATGATACTTGAGCAGAGGTAACTACTAATATTTCATTACAGTGCACTAAAGTAAAAAAGCTCACTGACACAGGTTCACAGGTGAGAAATATGCAAATTATGTGTTCTCACCACTCAGAATAGAAATTTATGGTGATACCAAATATAATTTTGCTTTGAGACATAACTTATAATTTAGAAATTTTTCAATCTTCAAAAAAGGCAAAGCTATTAAAAATAAATCTTCCAATCAATTAACATGATTTTAAAAAAAAGTAAATATATTACATACATATTTTTGGCCCCCAAAGAAACTTCAATAAATACAAAATAGGGCATATCATGATTCCATACAGTCATGTGACATTTCCCCTCCATAATCCCAGGCACGTGGTATCTGCATAATGCCTGCTGATCACCATCATTCCTTTAAAAAGAAAAGCTTCCAAAAGAAGGGCCTGGTTAGAACTAGCATGGCATAAAGAAAATACATATAGGAAATAGGAAAATATGTCCAAACTTTTACCTATTAGAAAGGAATTAAGATCAAATATTCCCTGATAAATGAATTATTGTACCACTTCACTAATAGATATGTTCTCTCTGCTCATCTTTTAAAAAATATATATGTAAATTAGGCTGGACTCAGGTATAAATAGCCAATGTATCTTAAGGGACAGTGAAACTTCTCAGCAAAATTGGAGTAGAGATGCTTTAAAATCTAGCTCCACCCTTCTCTGGGGCAGAGGGCAGGGAAGGCAGGCAAGAAGAAATCTCACATATTTATTTCATAGTCACCAACGTACTAAACTATCCAACATGATTTTTTTACCCTAAAATCCTGATACTTAAAAAGAATTTCCCAAAACTTTTACCAAATTTACTTAAACCTAGATTCTTAAATTATTTTAAAAGTACCAAATGCAGGTAAAATGTATGTCTGATCTCCATATTCTGCTTTGAAAGAAATTTTAAAATGTGTATCCTTCAGTTATTACACATCACTTCACAACTGGTACACTGATTCTACAAGTGTCTTCAACATTTTACAAATCTTACCAAAGAATCACTACTGTAAACATGAAAAAGTCAAAAGCAAAAGATGGATCAAGAAGTTCACAGATTTCATCTTTCAAATCTATCTGACCTATCCTGCTTTTTCACATCAAGATATTTTCTTCAATGACATCTTGCAAAAGTGTCCCATGAGTGAGGGGTTAAAAACAAGTGCAGGTCTGAAAAGGCAAAATGGCCTCAGCAACCCCACAGTCACTCCAGGCAAGTCTTGCTTGACAACCACCCCCACCCTGCCCCCATCACTAATGTGAATTCAGCTTTTGGTGTCTCACTTCTTTATGGGCTAACATTTAGCAGAAAAGGGTTGTGCTATTCACATGGGCAGATCACCCCCCTCCCTATTCAAGAAACTTCAGTTAACTCAGTGGGACAGAATGACCAACCTTACTAGGATGTGAGATGTACAAAGGAGAAAAAAGCCTTATACTCATTACAGGGGTTAAAAAAAAAAATTAACAACCCAATGGGACAGCTACTTCCTGCACTGCACAAAACACACACATGGGTGCACACACACTCACAGGTGGTCAAAAAACATTTTTTTTTTCTTTTTAGTTAACCATGATCACAATTAGGAATGGCATCCTGGCCTCTGGGTGGTGTTTGGCAGCTGGTGCGGAGTCAGAGCCTTAACCTGCCTCTATACACCACCAGTTATCTCCTACACAGGAACTCACTTAATAGGATCATTCTATCTAGAACCACCTATGTAAAAACCTGGCTATAGAATGGAAAGCACTGATCTGAATACTAGGAAATAGTAAAGGGCACTGGTAATCTGAGGTATCTTCCACTTCTAGGACTTGCTGCTAAAAACCAATCCTATCCAGTCAATGTGCTGAACCACCAAGGAAATCACAGGGGCCGAGTGGACCTGCCAGGAGGGAATGAGCACCAGTGCTAAGGAGCACATGTGAACACTGCAGCAAGGTCCACTGCCTGGCCACCTGTTGAGCTGGGAAGGGGGTGCCCCTCTAATTCCCATCTGCTATTTTTAAGTCTTCTTTAGGAAAAGGGGGAAGGGGTGCTAAAGAGGAAACAAAGATAGAAAACACCGGGTTCCCCACCTGCCTGCAAACACACAGACACGCTCAGTTAGGGGAGGGAAAGGGAGAAGATGCGTTATTGGTACTTGTAGCTGTGGCACCTGTTACTGTGAAGCCTGTAGGAGGGGCTATAGAGCTGTGGCTGGGCTGCAGGTCCTTAGGAATGCCACTGTGAGAACTCAGCTGGTGGCCGAAGGCTGCGCTGAACTGAGGGAGTTGCTGCTTGGGAGAGGTGGAGGCCATTAGTTCAGCAGAAGGCCCCATGCCACTGAAGCTGGTCTGCGGTAACCCCGGAAGCACACTGGAGCTGCTGGGGGTCACGGTGGCGAAGGCAGGCTGTGTGGTCTCTGAGTTCGAAGTGGTGGGTGGCGTGGATAGGGAAGTGGAAAGAAGATGTCCATCTGCGCCGAGAAGGTTGCTAAATGGAGAGGGATCTCCAAGGTTGACAGGGAGATTACCCCAGTGAGTTCTAGGGTTTACCACTCCTCCAAGTGGCACCTCAAGTTGGGTTGGGAGCAAGTGCTGCGCCATGATGGGCATCTCTGCTGAAAAGGTAGCTGCCATATTATCACCAGAGTAAGATGTCGTGTGGGGAGAGGTGATATGGTCACTGTAGGGAGACGGCACGTGCTCACTATCATAATGGCTTCCATGGGGCGAGGAGTGTGAATGATCACTGCTGTATTGCTGTCGTGAGGTGATTAGGTCGTCTGCCTTGCTCAGCAGCTGGGCAGGATGTGGCCTCTGGGAGGCATGGCTGCCATCATGAAGTCCATGAAACTGTCCTGGGAAGGCTCTCTCCCCTAGTGCACTCTGGCTGATCAGAGTGGCAGAAGTAAGGCCAACGTTGGCTGGGGCAGAGAACTGCCCCTGGATCTGCCCTGCCAGGGGTGTAGGTGGGTTAGACAAGGTAGCAGAACGGAGCAGGTTCTCGTCCAGCTCTAGACTAGAAAAATTATCATGTACTATTCGCCCATTCAATAGCTCCCCTAGGTCCGTGTTTACTTCTCGGCTCAAGGACTGGATTCCTGAAGCTCCAGTACCTGTGGAGAACACCCCTATTCCTCTATCTGACAACTCCTGGACTGGTACACCGTCTGACTGGGTAAGTACCCCAATGGTACTCAGGCACTCGAGAGAAGTTACGGCCTGCAGGGCCCGTTCAAGCTCCTCAGCCTCTTCGGTCGTCGGGAGGAGGTCTCCGTTCTTTCCTGAGTCAACAAAAGGCATTGAGAATAAGTAGGTCTCATCTATACCACAGCATTCATACATTTAAATTATTCAAAGAAAGTCCTTCTTGAAAAGGGAAGCTTCTAAGAACTGCACTGGAAGTTAAAAGTAAACTATTAATCTGCAGGATGGGTCTGAAAGATCAGCTGCCCGAAGAACTTGAATCTCAAAGGCCATCTTATCAGATGTTCAATTCTCAGGAACTCTAAGTGTTACCAATTTAAAAATCTTATAACCATTTGGTTGTACATGTTTTTATCTAAAATTATATTTATTATATTATTATAGAAAACACAGGCTGCATAGAGCTACTGTTCCTTGCCTTGTCTATGCCAGCTTCTTCCAGCTTGAGGGCAGACAGAAGACCAGAACACAGAAGCTCATGCATACATTTCAGCACAACACTAAACACTCAGTTCATTTTGGGGGTGTTTACCTAATCCTTCTCCCTCATTCTTTTTCCATTTCTAATTGATTTTCATTAAATGGAAGCACATGGACATACTTTGATTTCACTATCAATTTAAAAAATCTTATTGTTAGGAACTTGATTTATCACCATGAAAATATTCAATTTTTAGTGGGGAAAAAAATATCTTAATAGCATAAAAGTTTTCCCCTGAAAGCACTGGGGAGTTGATGGGATTAAGCAAACTTTGTTTTAGAAAAGTTCACTTTAATTGAATTACAAGGTGGGATATTAAAACTGGGAAAGTTCTAAAAGACTTCAATAAACTTGTGATTTAAATGTCTGTGTTCAAAAAATTAAGTAAAATTACTCATTTTAAAGAAACAAAGTTATAAATCTAGCTATCAATATAAATCTACTAAACCTAAAATATGGTTAAACAAAATTACCTACTCTCCACTTCTGAAAAGGAGTGAAAACTTTGGCAGTGTTATATTTTCTGTCTATAGAGTGAAAAAATATTTTACTTGAGGAAAATTTCAGACACATCTCAAAACTATTTCTCTTCTTACAAACTCATTTTTTTAAGTCAGTTTCTTTAATTAAAACACTGACCATACCTTCAAAAAAATCAAAATCTTGTAAGTCATCAGGTAACCGTGGCAGGACGTCTGAAAAGTCCTCCTGGTTCAATTCCAAATCATGTGGAATGTCGGTGATCTCGTTGGCAATGTCATCCGGCAACTCATCAGCACTCAGCTCGGGCGTGGATGGGCTCCTAGGAAGACAGGGCATTTGGTGCCAGCACTCCCCCTTCACCTTCATACCAATGTCAACAATTCAAGTTTACCCCACATAAGAAGATGCTAACGTCTACACTTTTTTTTTAATACATATATATTCAATGCAAACATGGGAAATCCTAATATAAACTGTCTCCTTACTTACTTTGTGAGAAGGAAATCAAAGTAGATACATTGCAAAAAGATATACCTTGTCATATACCATCACATATTTCTTTAATCTTTACCCATAATTGAGATAAGAGAATTATTACTAGCTATATTTTTACTTCAGATTAGTAGAATGGATCACAATTGGGTATCAAGTATGTCTTAATATTTTGTAGTAGAATTTCAAATTTGGTCAGAGTCATAATTTTAAAAATGAAGTAAAACGCTGGGCATGGTGACCCATACCTATAATTCTAGCCAGTAAGGAGGATTGCAAGTTCAGTGTCAGCTTGGGCAACTTAGCAAGACCTATGAAAAATAAAATTTTACAAACAAGAGCTAGGGATGTAACTGCATGGTAGAGTGCCTGCCAAGCAAGCATGAGCCATCGTGTTTAACCCACAGTACCACAAAAGAGAAACAGGTAAAACTGAAATGTAATAAAATGAAACAGAAGCTCTAGTTATCCTGTCAAAATGCCCAAAATTAATAATATGTCGTAATTCTGATGAAATATTTCTTATTATATGGAATTTCTGTTAAAAAAAAATCTGAGTATTGGGCTGGGATGTAGCTCAGTGGAAAAGCGTTTACTTCACATTCTGAGTCCTGGGTTCAATCTCCAGTTCCAAAAAAAAAAAAAAAAAAGACCAAAAAACAATTTCTGAGTGTATAATTAAATTCGCAATTTCAGCATCTGTTCTCTTTGCTATAATCTAAAGCTTTGATACTGATAAAATGTGCACTCCAAACTCAGACAGAATTAGTAAAATATATTCCTCAAAATGGCTAAGCTGAGGCTGGGGCCGGGGCCGGGGCCGTAGCTCAATGGTAAAGCACTTGACTAGACAGAAGTACAGACTGACACACTGGATGGCTCTGTAGTTTAGTGCTGACATTCTGATATTCACACAGACAGATGTTCTGAGAACATTCAGGAAATAGGAAAAATAAGTCCTGACCACTACTCACCGGATCTGAGAGGCCTCCACTGGCAGTGAGACGCTGGTGGGCATGCTGAGGTTCCCTTGGGGGACTGCTGGGGGGATGGGCTTTTGGGGTCGACGAGGTCCACGCCTTCTCTTCTTCTTATGTTTTTTGGTAAGTGCAGGAGGCTTGGTTTTTTTCCTGGGTTTCCTCTGCTGCTGGTGCTGAACTTTACGGGAGTTATCTCCTCTCAAGAAATTATCCTTTGGAATAAACAAAAAAAAAATCATTATTTTTTTTTAAACTGAGGGCTACTCACTGATCAACCCTACCTCACCCTCTCTCCTGGTGTGCTACTCTACAGTAGGGTGAGTACAGATAACAATAATATTCTGGGCAGCTCAAAAAACTAGAATAATGACTCTAGAAGTTTTACCATAAAGATAATTTAACCTGATTCAAACATCATATAATGTATACACGTATGGCAATATCATGTAAAATTTGTGATATTCCCAAGTGGCAGTTAAAACAAATTTAGTATTTAAACAATTGAGACTATCTGGAAAAACTTTAACAATCATCTTCAAAAAGCCTGAAGTTCTTAATATTCTATATAATGCCTAAAATAAACTTATACCTATGTAATTATTCAATTCATATCAATTCAACATATATTCAGGTCATCCCACATTTAAAGACATTATGGGAAGTACTATAACATAAGACAAATTTTGTGTTTAATGTGAACTTACTCTTGTATGTGAAAACAGATAAAAATCTATATAAATACAGTACAGAGAACATTAAATAATGATAAGGTAAACAGCTCCCACAGGTATACAAAAGAAAAATTAATTATTTTTGGTTTGTGAGATTAAAAGGTAAGTAGATTTTAAATTGTGGGGTAATAGAAAAGATCATTCTTGCCTAAAGGAAATAGCACAAACAAGAGAAAAAGTACAGTATATAACTAGGTATGCTCATAGATGAAACACAAAAGCAAGCTGTAAGAATTTTGGAATAAGAGTACATATTTCTTTGAATTTCCTGTTAAAGATTTTAAACTTTTATTTAACAGGCATTGTAGCGTTTTGGTTTTTTCTTCCCCCATTACTGGGGATAAGAACCCAGGGCCTTAAGCTCTTCTGAGTTACACCTCCAGCCCCTAGATAGGATGATAGCTCCCCTGATGAGGTGAGATACATAGATGTCTAGAGAGCTATGGGAAAACTACCGGCGCACAGGAATAAAGGGGATGAAGACACAGACCTGGAAATCCATGACTCAGTCAAGACCTTTAAAATAATTTACACAGGCAGGGAGACAGAGAGAACGGACACTGAGGACACAGGTACATAAAACTGCTGAAATTAAGTAAGTAGGCAAGGGGGTAAGAGCCTACAAGGACAAAAGAGAGAGTGATGATATAACTAGCTTTCTTCAGTCAATAACATCAACTCTATCATCTGCCCACCATCTGATACAGTCTAAAAGTCTGTTTCATCCCCAAACTGATGTTGAATCCTAATCCCCCAATGTGATGGTTTTAGGAGGTGGGATTTCAATCACGAAGGTGGAGCCCCCATGTATGGAATTAGGGCCTTAATATGTGAGACCTCAGAAAGCAACAATGAGGTTGGCAGGGTACAATCCAAAAAAGAACCTGACCAGAACCCAACCATGCCTGCACCATCCAGAACTGAGAAATAAATATTGATTACAAGCTACTTTATCTTTGGTACTTTCTTACAGTCACCAAAACTAACATCACATTTTATCAATTCAAAATGCATATTTTAATCTCTCTGTAATAGGAAAGTGTAAATGTTAGTATCTTACATGATATGCCAACCAGGTAATGTTCGTTACAGTTGGTCCTGCCTTTATATATTCAACATCGGTTATACTTCTTTGTGCTGGCATTACTTGAATTAGTATATGCACTGCTAGTATAACTTGTGGACAAAAAATTTTTATGTATGCAGAAAGACACAAAGAATAGGAGTATAAAATTGTTAGAGAAGCAAATATTCACTACTGAAGAACTTAACTTACTACAACTCTAAGTGAGAAAGGGAAATAACCACAAAGTGGATGATGATACATAATAGCAAAATACTGACTTTCACACATCAAATAATGTAGCTAAGACCAGGAATGACATAAAATTCTAAGTAAAATAAAAATATTGAATCATTGGCAACTTCTTGTTTTGCTCTTACTATTGGCCATTCCCACTTAGTTCTTTCAGAGAGCTAGAGCAGAGGATTTCCCAATGCCAATGATTCATTTGCCTAGCTTTAGTGAGTACTGGAATACTATTCACTTGCAACTTTCCGTGTCTTTTTGTATGCCAGGCCAAGCACTTTCTAACTTACCAACTGAGGTGTGACCAACCTGTTGGAACATCTTTTCTGCCTACCAATCTGTACCTCTTATGGTCTAAGCTTCTCCTGCCAATGGTTGTTTCACCTCAGTGGTTGAATTTACTTCCGAATCTTCACCCTTCCCAGCCATATGCCTAACCATTAATTTATTCAACATTCCCACATAAGAAAATGCAATGAACAAAAATGTTTCTGCTCTTGTGAAGTTTTCGCAATTATAGGAGGATACAGACAATGAACAAAATAATGTAAGGCAAATAAATGTTGGAAAGGACAATAAAAAGGTGGCACACGCCTGTAATCCCAACAACTTGGGAAGCTAAGGCAGGAGGATCTAGAGTTCAAAACTAGCTGCAGCAACCTAGTGAGGTCCTAAGCAACTCAGCGAGGCCCTGTCTCTAATAAAATATAAAATTTGAACTGGGGATGTGGCTTGGTGGTTAAGCACCCCTGGGTTCAATCCCTAGTACCAAAAAAAAAAAAAAAAAAAGAGAGAGAGAGAGAGAGACAGAGAAGGGGGGTGGATTAAAAAACTGACAGGGTAGCAGGGAAGTAGAAAACTTTTCTGATGAGATATGTGATCAGAAACTTGAATGAAATAAAGAAGTAAGCCACGCACAAACCTGAGAAAAGAACATCCCAGGAAAAGAGAAAACCAAGTGCAAAGCCCCCAAGAGGGAGCATATGTAGAATATCAAAAACAGCCAGAAAGTCAGCACTGCTGGAATTAGACAAGGGGAGGAGATGAAGCTGAAGAAGTGAGGCCCAGATCACAAAGTGCCTCAGAGACATTGGTGAGAATTTTGGATTTGACTCTAGACAGTGATAGGAAGTCATTAGAAGAGTTTAATCATGGGACTAAGATGATCAGATGTTTTAAAAAGCCTGCTTTAAAGGCCCATACTTATGATTCCACTGATAACATTCTAGAAAATATAAAAATTATAGAAACTGAAAAATAGATAAATGAAGATGGAGTAAAGGATTCACTACAAGAGAATTTGAAGAAGTGATGAGACTATCCTTGATCATGGTGATGGTCACACAACTGTATCCACTTGTCAGAATAATAGCCAGAGTAGCTTCTGTGGATGTTTTCTACTTTCTTCGAATTAAATTCACAGTTCACTTAATTCACGGGTATACGTGTGTGTGTGTGTGTGTGTGTGTGTGTGTGTGTGTGTTTATAGAGGGGTGAGTATGGCAAAAGGAGATCACTTAGGATGCTGACTATAACAATAATCAAAGCAAAGACAGTGGCAGCTTAGGCTAAGACACTAACAGTCAAGTTGGTAAAATGTGTTTGGATTGAAGATATAATACAAAAGCAGCGCCAAGAGATTTCACACAGTTCTTGTCTAACCCAGAATAAGTCTCTCATAGGGGCAATGAAGTAATTTTTGACCCAGAACAAAAGTAGCTAAAACCAGTGTCAGATTTTGTAACAGCCTTCAGAGAGAAAATCAGTTTCAAAAATTTGTAAAAACTTTTTCAAAACCTGATTAATATTTATTTTTACTTTGTCACAATATAAAATATTCATTATTTTCTGAGTAATTCATATCATACTAATTCCACTTTAGGTTTGCTTTATTGAATTTGCCTAAGGAAGAATGTTCAACTAGCTGAAAAGAATAAAGTGCTTTGAATTTCTTCAAAAGCCTTCACATAATAATCAATATACAAATAATATAAGTTTCCCTACTTAACAATACTTTCCTAGTCTTAAAAGCCTCTAGAGGGAGGCTGGGTATGGTAACAGGCACCTGTAATCCCAGCATCTTGGGAGTCTGAGGCAGGAGGATCACGAGTTCAAAGCCAGCCTCAGCAAAAATGAGTTACTAAGCAACACAGTGAGACCCCTGTCTCTAAATAAAATACAAAATAGGGCTGGGGATGTGGCTCAGTGGCCAAGTGCTCCTGAGTTCAATCCCCTGTACATTAAAAAAAAAAAAAAAAAAAAAAGCTTCGACAGGGGCTGGGGTTGTAGCCCAGCAGTAGAATGGGTAGAATGCGTGCCTAGCACATGTGAGGCATTGGGTTTGATCCTCAACACCACATAAAAATAAACATAAAATTAAGGCATGCTGTCCATATACAACTATCTATCTATCTATCTATCTATCTATCTATCTATCTATCTATCTAAGTACTCTAGAATCAAACAACTTTAAAATTCAAGCTGGCAACTTCTTCAGTGGTTTTAAAGTTGCAGGGCTCCTGTTACCAAAAGTCTGCAAAATCATCAATGAAAGTCCACAAAAGTGGTTCCAAAAGCATACAGAAATTATTCTTTACCCATGATGTACCCTGAAGACACAAACAAAAATGCCCAAATTTTAAATATTTTTAATTAAAAAGGGGGAAAAATCCAACATTTGTGTATACAGGTTAGTATCTAAAATTTTCAAAACATACAATCCATAAAAGAACCCCAAAACAAATAAGGTTCTTGATGAGGCCAGTAAATTACAATCAGGGAACCCAAGGTACAGAAAGGTTCAATCATCAGTCCCTAGTTATGCATTTAGTTAGTGGCAAAGACAGGGTCACAGGCCACATGTCCATGAAAACAGAAAGTGCTTACAGACAGCCGGAAGTGTCTTTCTCAACTTTTTGGTACATAAGGTAACCTAGCACAATCTCGTGAAGTAACTATCTGATGGGTGAAAATAACATCAGTGAACTTTTTTTGTTTTGTTTTTGTGTTGTTGGGGAATCAAACCCATGGCCTTGCACTTTATAGGCAAGTGCACTACTACTGAGCTACATCCCCAGGCAAAAAATGAACTTTAATGCAGAATTCAAAAATTCCATAAATTCAAACTTATCTGTTCTCAAAATTATTCTGAATCAACTGGGACTAGCATTAACCAAAGCAATAACTAAATTAAACCAAATTATACATAGTCTTGGCATTTGGTCAAAATCTTAGCAAATATTCAAGACATTTACAGAACTGTATATAAGAAAGCAAAAACCTAAAGAAAAAAGGGCAAAGAAAGAGTTTGGGAAATCTGCTATGTGTAAGAAAATATACCTTAAAGAAAAGAGAGGTATAGTGGGGTTATAACTCAGTGGAAAAACGCTTGCCTAGCACTTGTGAGGCACTGGGTTCGTTTCTCAGCACCACATAAAAACAAATAAATAAAATAAAGGTATTGTGTCCATCTACAACTAAAAATATATTTGTATATATTAAAAAAAAAAGAAAAGAGAGGTATAGAATAGGGGTAGATAATAAACAAAATGAACTCATCTAAGTAGCTGCAGGTTTAATATCACTTATCCAAAAACTTAAGGAGCAAAAGTGTTTCAGACTTCGGAGTATATGCATAAAATTTAATAGATAAACATCCTTAATCCAGAAACCAAAATTTAAAGACTCCAAAATCTGAAATTTTTGAAAATCATTCCAGCACTCAAAAGGCTCTGAATTTTAAAACCTTTTGAATTTTACATTTTTGAATTAGGGAATGCTCAACCCACACCAAGAATCTTGTAAAACAGTGTTTCTAAAAATGAGGGTCTGAAATTAATTCAATGAGTCATGTTTAGCATTCTTAAAATCTTTTGGTCAGAGAATAGAAAATTTCAGGTGGTGAAAAATACTGTTTACAAAACTTGTGTCAGTGATTTATATATACACATAGTTTGTATTAGGTCACAAAGTATTTTCTACTGTAGATAGTCATCAAAAGTTTGAAAGGCTATGTCACAGAAAATAAAATATGAGTTTACCATTTTTTTGGCATGTTCTTCACACAGAGGTGTCTGGTGTGTAATGTCAAAAACTGGCACAGAGCATTGCTGTCCATCTGCAAACTTGGCGGTGCAACTGGAGAAGAGCTGCTGAGAGCGGTTCAAGAGGATATCTGCGTTTTTTTAAAGTTAGGAATAAAATACTCTTAAACGCTAATTTTTCAATATCTATATAATTCACTGCTTCCCTTACTTATGTTTAATAAATATGAATTTTATTATCTGTAAAACCCTAAAGTACAAATCCAAATACTGATATGGTAAAATGTTAATAGTTGGATTGACCATCATTATTTATAGGAGATACTTCTGAAGGAAGCCATTTTGCTAATAAGCTCCTAGTGTAAGTCTCTTTTATGGCCATTCTGAACCACTTTATGTTATTTGGAGAAGGACCATCTTCTTAACACATTTCACTCCTAAAATTTCCACTGTAACAACTATTTTTTTAAATAAACTTATTTTAAAAGAAAAAACTTTCTGCTTATGATATTTATCAAGAATAAAAATAGCTGGGAGTGGGGGTGCACACCTATAAGCTCACTGGCTTGGGAGTATTATGAGGCAGGAAGATCAAGAGTTCAAAACCAGCTTCAGCAAAAGCAAGGCACTAAGAAACTCAGTGAGACCCTGTCTCTAAACAGAAAACAAAAAAGGGCAAGGGATGTGGCTCAGTGGTTAAGTGCCCCTGGATTCACTCCCCAATACCGCCCCCCAAAAAGCTACTCAGTTCTAAATATTTAATAAAAGAGCTAATAAGATTTTATCTACAGTCTAAAGCTCCCTGAAAATTTTTTTCCTTAAGTATATAATCCTAAGAGACCTTTTTTCCTAGTCAGTGATATGTTAACTTATTTCCTTTCAAATTATTCTCCAAAACAGCAAATTAACCTTATAGCATCAGGCACACTGTAAAGCTGTGTAACTATCTTGGAAGACTAAAAACTAAAACTTTGATTTAATTTTTCCATCAATAATTATTATATAGTTACTCCTTATAAGCTACCTGGAACCACCTGTAGGATCAGAATTCTATTAATAACATATAATTACGTGTTAGCCACTAGGAGATCCTATTTGGCTTATTTTGTTGTTATTTGGTCCTCTTGACTTTGATCCAGATTCTGAACTTAAGACAATTAGAAACTGAATCTCAATTTTGTCTAAAAGATAAGAATAGTGCAATTTTATGCACTTGTGATTCCTACCTTTCCCAGCTCAGTGTCATGAGAATAAAATGTGTGTGTGTTGGGGGCGGGGTGGGGGGGGCTGAACTAATATAAGCAGAAAAAAAATTGTAAGATTTTAGAAAAATTAGAAGTCACTTAATAATTTCAAAAATTAAATAGTTACTATTTCAAAAGTCATTCACTTGATTTAAAAATGAAGCACAGTAATCATCTGCAGCAGAGCACCTGTCTAAAAATGCAGGAGACTCTGGGTTCAATCCCCCGTAACCAGGGGAAAAAAGGTACACAGCTCCAAGTGAGTTAAAACTTTTCCATGCACACTTGATCAAGTTAGAAGGATACGTTGGAAACAATGTCTGGTGAATGGAAGGGCTTTGTTAGTGCACTGCTCCCCCTTCATGGTTCCACTGCATGCTGCTGGTTCCACCTCCCTCAACTTGGTCCGGCTTATACTGAGGAAGAAAAAATACAAAATTAGTTTTTAAAGCACACGCTTAAGAATCTAAGGCAGTTTTTCTATATTATGTCGGTACTCTGTAATATCCACATTATAACTATCTATAATACCCACAGTCATTAACTTGCAAATATGAGTTAAAGCAAGTACTATAAATACCAAATACATTATTTCCCAAGTCTACTGATATTCAAAGCAAAAAGTTTTATCACAATAGTTTTCAAATATATGGTCTTTTTGTTTTTTGGTACAGGGGATTGAACTCAGGGACACTTGGCCAGTAAGCCACCTCCCCATCCCTATTTTCTATTTTATTTAGAGACACCGTCTCACTGAGTTGCTTATTAGCACCTCGATTCTGTTGAAACTGGCTCTGAACTTGCAATCCTCCTGCCTCAGCCTCCTGAGCCACTGGGATTATAGCCATCTGCAGCTGGCCCCTGTTTTTGTTTTTTAAATGATATTTGATACATTTTACTTTTCAAAAAGGTAATGGAGAAAAGTGATGAAGAACATGAGACTAGAATCAGACCCTGTTCCCAATTTCATCTCTACCTCTTACTAGCTGTGTGACAGTTAATAAGCCTCTGTTAAGAAACAACTTCCTCACAAGGACAACAAGGTCCCCTCAGCTGGCAGGTGAGTTGTGAAGATGGTTGTTAGTCACTGTTATCATTATCATTACTAGGATGTGGTCACCTTATGCTACTAAATGATAAATATGCAAAACAAAACAAAACAAAAAAACCCTTGATCATAGCCAGGCACAGTGGTGCACACCTATAATCCCACTGGATTGGGAGGCAGAGGTGGGAGGATCGAAAGCTCAAGGCCAGCCTCAGCAACTTAGTGAGACCTTGTCTTAAAATAAAAAATAAAAAGGGGTGGGAATGTAATTCAGTAGTTCAATCCCTGGTAGCAATTTTTTAAATAATTAATTAATTAAATTAAAAGGACTAGGGAAGCAGCTCAGGGTAAAGCCCCTTTTAATCCTCAATACCAAAACCCCAAAAATAAAAATTAACTTGCTCTAATATATATAGCAAAGGGAACACTAAGATGCAGAAGTGACTGAGCTACTCTCAAGCCCTAAAACATACTCATTTTGGACAAATTTTAAAATTTTGCATTATGTGTAACTCCGGGTTTCAATACTTAAATGCTGTTTCCACTTTTTTCATTTAATATTTAATATATTTAACTTACTTTTAGACTTTATGAACCGGCAATGTATACATATGGTTCCAAAAATAATAATTCTACAAAACATCACAAATTGTTAGGCCTTTACACATGCCTGAATATGAAGGGAAAATCTTAATAAACTGAGTCACAAATCAGGCATGAAAATCAAAGAAATCCTGCGTTGTTTCTAGTATCTGTAAGGATCCCAATAAAATGATCTATACTAAGTAGATAAAGTCATACAGAATCTAAACTGTGAATTTACATAATGTCCAAATAAAAGAATACTTCTATTATAATTGTAGAAACAGTTAATGGAAATAGATAATCAAGCCCTGCCATAGAACTTGCTTTAATTAAGAGTTCTACAAGATTTATCAAGATTACAAGGATGAAGAAGAGGGGGGTCATTTCAGAAGTAAACCATTTATTCCTAATAGTTTTATATACTGCCCCCCAAAAGGTGTTTACATTATTAACTTTAGTCCTGTAAAAAAGATACATAATTTAAAATAAATATTTCTGGCAGCTAAGCCCAAATTCTCTTTCTCTTTATTTAAATAGAAGGTACCTCTCTATACTGAAGGGATAATTTTCATTGAACACACAAATTATTTACCTATCTACCACCCCTACTATACAACATATTCCCTCATTTTCTTTCTAAACTTTCAAAGAAATCATCTGTTTCAGTTTTTTCAATCACCTCATGTTCCAATTTATCGATCTCTTAAAATGAATCTGAACTCAGAATTTCAATATCCCCATGGATAGATTAAGGTTAAAATGATGTTAGATATATTTTATTATTCAAATAATCCCAACAAAGCAAAGAGAATTACTAAAACATTTTGATGTTTTTAATATAAAAATATCTACAAGTTTCCTTTTTGCATGCTCTATAGTATCCCTAATAAATAATCATGCTCCCACATAAACAATGCCATACAAACACAAGACACCAACAACATTAGTCAGTGTAGGACTATACACCACCAGAGTCAAATACAGGTCTATGTACTTCAGGCTATTTCAGTGGCTTAGTCTGCTTACCAAAAAGAATGAAAAAGCTGTTAGATTAACACCTTAATATTATTCAGCTTATATACAAACTATATTTTATAAGATACATATTAGAAGGCAATCATTAAAGTTTCAGTTTATAAAATATTTATCTAAATGTCTTCTGTGGAACTAGGACTTTGATACCAAAATTATCAAATAAATAGAGAATATCATGTAACTAAAACTAATTTTTGTGAACCTAAAATACAATGTACCAGTAATAAGCAATAACCAAAGAACAACTATGACACATTGCTATATGATCATCAGTAATTTACTGCAATGGGCAATAAACTTTTCATTAATCAAGGGTGACATAATGAAATGATATCGAATAAATTTTAAAATAGTAATAGAATCCATCTTGGTGTGTTATTTTATTATTTGGTGACATTTATCATTTTCTTCCCATATCACTAAAGTCAGTTTGGAGGATGTTCTGAAAACAACCAGTTAATAATCATAGAAAAAGCTGACAGTGTAGCTCAGTGGTAGAGTACTTGCCTAGCAAGTACAAGTTCCTTGGTTTTGAACTCCAGCAGAAGGAAGGATGGAATGAAGGAAGAAAGGGAGGGAGGGAGGGAAGGAGGGAGGGAGATGGACATAGATAAAATAGTCTTCCACATAAATACCAAATTGTCCCAATCTTAATGTGCAAACTCTTACATCTCTGACAATATCATAACAATATGTGACTTGATGTATATAATATTTATATGTAAATTGTATTATGCTGCATATAGCTACACTTTCTTGAAATTATACACTTGAGAGCAATATACCATCTAAAACATTTGATATCATTATTTTACAATCTCTGTCAAACTGAGTGAATTGTTTTAACAAATAAACAAACCTTCATATATTCAATAATATTCATTCTTTGAACAACACTGGAGATACAAGAACTAAATGGACCTACATCCTGCACTCATGGAAATTACTGTCTAGCATGAGAGATTTATTCAAGTAACTCATAAATACTATTAAAAAATTAGAATATTTTTTCTTCACTTTATCAATAACCCACCAGTTAGAGACATTTCAATATACAAACCCCTAATCTTTTTCTACACATATATACTCAATGTTGTCATCTGAAAATTTAACACTGAGAAGTGTGAAATAGTAAACTCAATAAAGACTTAGGTCTCCTAGACTTTAAAACAATCCTTTTTTAAAATAAATTTTTAGTTGTAGACAGGACAATACCTTTGTTTATTTATTTATTTTTATTTTTATGTGGTACTGAGGATTGAACAACAATGACAACTAGGTGCAGTGGCACATGCCTATAATACCAGTAGCTCAGGAGGCTGAGGCAGGAGGACCACAAGTTCAAAACCAGCCTCAGCAACTTATCAAGAACCTGTCTCAAAATAAACATTAAAAAAAGGATGTGGCTCAGTGGTTAAACACCCCTGGGTTCAATTCCTGGTAACAATTTAAAAAAAAAAAAAAAAGAAAAGAAAAGAGAAGAGTGGAAAAGAAGAATAATGTTTACAGTGCTTATTCAGTTATATCAATGGAGCTATGGAGATTTCCCCCTTCTTTTTTCTGTATTTTTCCAAATTTTGCTCAATAAACAAGCATCTGCATTACAAACAGAAGAGCTGTTTCTTCCCCCTAAAGAAATACAATGTAATAAAATATGTTGAACATGTTGGGCAAAGCATACTCAGGAGATTAAGACAGAAGGATCACAAGTTTGAGGCCAACTTGGGCAACTTAGTGAGACCCTGTCTCAAAATAAAAAGTAGGAACGATCTGAGGATGTAGCTCAATGGTGGAGCACCCCTGGGTTCAATTCCCAGTACCACTAAAACATAATGAGTGAGGGCTGGAGTTGTAGCTCAGTGGTAGAGTAACTTGCCTCAAATGTGTGAAGGACTGAGTTCAATCATTAGCACCATATAAAAAAATAAACACTGGGCTGGGGATGTGGCGCTCGCCTGGCATGCGTGTGGCCCGGGTTCGATCCTCAGCACCACATACAAAGATGTTGTGTCCGCCAATAACTAAAAAATAAATATTAAAAAAATTCTCTCGCTCTTTCTCTCCCCTTCTCCCTCTCTCTTTAAAAAAAAAAAAAAAGAAAAGAAAAAACATCTTGGGCTGGGGTTGGGGCTCAGCGGTAGAACTCTCGCCTAGCATGTGCAAGGCGCTGGGTTGGATCCTCAGCACCACATAAAAATAAATAAGTATTTTATAAAAAAAATAAAAAATAAAAATAAACAACAACAACAACAAAGAGTGAATGAATGAAAGAAAACTGAACACATACAAGGTGGGGTAGTTACATGAAATACATGGAAAAGAAAAATCTTAAATAATACAAGCAAAAAAAACATGTCCTTTTAATAAAACACATTTTTCTTTTGTTACTAAAAAAACTATATTACTTTCAAATAACATGAAATTTTTTAGCACTAAAATAGATAATATTCTCAACCTTCTAAAAATAAACTGTAATTAAATTCCAGCCAAAACTTCAGTAATGCTTTTACTATCGTATCAGTTCATGGCAGTACTATTCTGTCACTTGTGTGGTGCTTTTTTCTGGAACAACAAAACCAAAATGCAGTCTCAAATATTTTAGGTTTAAATGGTCATTGTGCCTTAACCACCCTCTCCAAAAATACAGAAAACAAAATACAAACTGAGACAAGTTCCTTAGAACAAGTGGCTCTGTGTGGCTCTAACCTGGTTCGAGTGCATGCTGCTCTCCGAAGTTCTTGTATTAATTGACCAGTACATTCCGGTTCTTTACTGGCTGCCTGCAGCAATGCTTTCCTAAATGTATGACGGCATTTCTTTTGACGAGATTCTGCCCTTTCCAGGCGGCAGAGGTGCTTGTATTTCTGCTGAAAGTAAGTGCAAAGTTGGGTCACCCTGGAGCTCCTACTCTCCGCATCATCGTCATCTGGCCTGGAAAGTGCAAGGAGAGAAGTAAAAAACCAATTACACATTAAGCTCATTTTAGAAAGGGGAAATGAGAATAAGGAAGGGGGGCTGATGAACAGGGTTAAAACCTTGGTGGCAAGTGAGTAAGTGGTTAAGAAAATTAGAGCATGAGATTTCAATAGAACTGAAAATAATATTTCAACTCAACACAAGGCAGCAGAGACAATCCAGGGCTTTAAAAGACGCTTACCCTTCTTAGCATGTCATCATTAGACACGTAATGCCCGGGACTTTCTGAATTTTAAATGAATAGGGACTCACGGAGAAAACCACTTCTTTACCTTTTCTTACTAAAAACTGAATAAATGACTGCACAACTCAATAAAAGATAGATCAGTCATATCAGAAATAGAGCAGTGAATTCTAATAGTATATTACCTAGGAACTGCCCTTTTAAGACATTCTGGTTTTTAACTACCTTTTCTTGCCAAGTACTTAAAGAATTCTGAGGCCAGGCATCCTGATGCACACCTGCAATCCCAGTAACTTGAGAGGTTTAAGTAAAAGGATTCCAAGTTTGAGTCCAGCCTTGTCAACTTAGCCAGTCACCTTGTCTCAGAATAAAAAGGCTAGGAATCGGGGCCTGGGGAGATATATAGTGCAGTTGGTAAAGTGCTTGCCTCGCACGCACAAGGCCTTGGGTTCAATCACCAGTAACAACAACAAAAAAAGGCTGGGATTGTAGCTCAGTGCTCTTAACTAAGTTCAATCCATAGTACCGTGCAAAAAAAAAAAAAAGTACTTTGATTGTAGGGATCACATTAATTCTACAGTTTTAACTACAGGTATCCTAAATGGCATTTCATACACCAGGGACAAAACACACATTTTCTCATCATACACTAATGTGATTGAAAGGTGATCCCTACTGAAGTATTATTTGGAAAGGACGCTGAGCATATCTAGGCTTAATAAGAAACAGTGCTATGATTAGTTAACATTGTCTACCATCAGCAAAGTTAAACGGTTCACTTTATTTATTGTTAGGAATAATGCACAAGACCTAAAGACTAACCTGTTATTTTATTTCTCTTCTATCTTAACATAAATGCCATACATGTGACGCCATAGACTATATATTATCTTACTAATCTGTAAATCATTGCTTGGTTTCTCTTGTTTAAAGTGGTATTATCCTTTTTTTTTTCCCCCAGAATGACATGTAACAGGCTATTCTTCAAACTTCTGTTAGGAGTCTTTCCTTGAAGCATGTCCTCTTCACTACAACTTCTACTGCAGATAGATAAACTGAAGATTTTACTTCAATCTTATCACTTATTCAACATTTATTGTGTGTCTATTAGGTTGAGTACTATAGAAGAGAAAATAAAGTTTTGAAGAAGAGCCTGCAATGTAATTCAGACAAGATAACACATTCCAAAGTTAAATAACTCAAGAGGCTAAAAGTGATGATGCAAACAGCAAGGCACACAGATCAACAATTCAAATATTTGAAAACAAATTAGAAAATCCTAGGAGCATCTTAAAACTTCAGATTCCCAAGACCTACACTGATTAACTAAACCAGAATCTCCATGGGGCAGGCCCAAGAATCTTTTATTTAAAATTGTTCCCCAGAATCTCAGCAGATCTATATTTGGGGTTCAGGTAGGGCCGGTAAGTGCTACAAACACCTTTAATACAAGATAAATAACAGTTAAATCCATGAGAAATATAGATAATGTGCTACAAAAGTTCACAAGAAAGAGTGCTGCAGGAAAGGCCCTGAAGAAGAGATAACAACAGAGCTGGATCTTGAAGACAGGGTAGAAGTTGAAGATGTGGAGAAAAGGAAAAAAGGCTCATCAATAAGGATAAACACTTTAAGCCACGGTACAGAGACAACTGAAAACTGTAGTACTAAGGAGCTTGGTTTGGCTAAGATATAGGACGTGCTGGGAAGTGATGGTTGGTAAAATTTTATAAATCTAAATGCCAGATGAAAGAGTTTAACCTTTATTTCACAGACAATGAAGAATCTATGTAAATTTTTAAAAAATGGGTATCAATATAATAGAGATGTGCATGAGAAAGATTACAGTGCTAGCAGATACAGAATAAGCAGAAGAAGAAAAAGAAGAGAGCAATTAGAAAACTATTAGCAAACTCCAGGTAAGAGATAATAAGGGCAGCAGCATGGAGAATGTGAGTGGTAATATGTGAGCAGAAAAGACAAACTGGGAAAGGAAGACAGCTGTTCCCATCAGGGCTAGGGAAGGACAATGGTACCATTTATGAAATAAGGAACTGGATCAAGAGCAGATTTGGAGAAGAAAATGAATCCCATTTCAGATAAAAGGAAAAAAGGAACTTTGGGGTGCTGGGGATAAGGGCCTTACACATGCTTGGCAAGTGCTCTATGACTAAGCTACACCATCAGTCCACTGAGGTAAAAAGCACAAATTTCAGAGTCAACAACAAACAACTCAAAGACTGGGGAATGATGAAAATAAGAGACAAGACAGATAACGGAAAGAAAAATACACATAAGGGCCATTATCAGAAAAGAATTAACTTAATTTGGCAACTGGATATGAAGAATAGGAAACTTAAGGGTGACTTAATGACTATGAATCTGCATAAAAGAGAATGGAAGGGCAATTGGTAAAAAAGAAAGAAAAAGAAAGGGCTGATAGGGGTCTTCCAGGGAAGGCAAAGCTTAGGTAGATCATCACTCAACACAACAGTTATTTCAAAGACACTATTACTTGAGGAAGGACGAGCTAAATCAGTGCCCCTCCGGTTCATTGTGGAAAGATGCACTAGATGTTGAGGCATGTTATGAGATTACAAAGAAGCTTCAAAAGCTTACTCATAATTTCCATACTTATCTTGTCACACACCAGTAACAAACAGTTTGTATACTGACACAGGTCCACAGACCATTGCCAGCATCTCCAAGATGCTTCCCATTTCTTAGATCTCTGACATTAATATGACATTAATATGGCAAGCCTGGTTGCTAAGAAGAGCAGTGAGTGAACTGGGAAGAGAGAGGCCAGTTTCCCCTCAGTGAACTTTTCTCATCTATGAGAGACATAGCTGGCCTGCTTATCTCCAAATGTGAAGAAAATGAAAAGAAATTATATCTGTAAAGTCACAATATAAGTACAGTTATTATTAATATTGAAACATTATCAGTAAAAACCAAATACAAACCAACAAATTCCAAACTTGACATTCTGAGACTCTGGGCTTATCCATAATCACAAGAATTGACAGAAAATTCTCCAAACAAAATTAACTTTATTAAGACAACAGCAGCAAAATGGTAACATTGCTGATTAAAAAAAAAAAAAAATGGGAATCAAAAAGAGAAGCTGGTAAGAAAAATATATAGTAAATAAAATAATGAATTTAACTGTAGAAATGCTGAATTTAAGGTATTAACAGAATATTTGTTGAGAAATATCCAACAGGTAGTTCAAACTCAAAAGAAAAGTTAGATATACCTGGGAGACTTGGCATGCGGATCACTAGAACCCAGAGGTTCAAGACAAGCCTATGTAACAGCAAGAACCTATCTCAAAAGAACTTGTTTTTGAATTTAAGAAAAAACAATGGTCAGACATGAGAAAAAGATCTGAGTCATTCATATAGATAACAGGTGAAACAATGGAAGAATGGAACACTTATGGCAGTTAGGAACTTGCCACTCTAAAGCACCTATATACTAGGTGCTTTATGGATGCATTGTTGCTCTGAAAGGAAGTGCTTGATCAAAAAAATGAAGAAATCATAAACAGAAAAAGTTCAGAACTAAAGCTAAACTTGTAGGTAAGGTGAAAAGAGGGTTTGAAATGGGCTTCTTTGAAAGTGCATGCTGATATCAACTCTCATCCCTACAAGATCAAGTGGCTGAACTTGACTGAGAATCCATAAGGCCAGGACCTACCAAATCAAAAATTATCATGCCAAAGAAGATATAAGCCATCCTGCATGACAAAAAGAAAAAACAACAAATGAGATTTACAAGGGCATCAAAGGTTGGAATTATGAATATAAAACTGTTATGTATGAGATGTTTAAAGTATGAATTTTATGAAGAAAGAAATATAAAAGAAAAATAGGAATGGCAAAACAAGATTGAAAATAAATGGAAATCCTAAAAATCAAAAAATTTAAGTCAAAAATACATAAATACTTTGCTCCAAATAAAGAAAACAAGGCATGAAGCCTGGTGGCAAACACTTGTAATCCCAACCACTCTGGAGGCTGAGTCAGGAAGATCACAAGCTGAAGGCTATCATCAAACACTTAGCAAGACCTTGAAAAAAAAAATATTTTTTTTAAAGGGCTGGTTTTGTAAGTCAGTGGAAGAGAGCCCGGGCTGCCTGGCACTGCTCAAAGACCTGGGTTCATTCCCCAGCGCAAATAAATAAATAAACAAACAAGTGGCAAGCAATCATATCTATCTTCACTACTTCTATTCAACACTTTGTTGAAGATCTTAGTACAATAAGGCCAGAAGTAGCAATAAAAGGCTTAAAGATCAGAAGGGTGAAAGTGAAATTGTCCATATTTATAAATGACATGATTGTTTGCAAGGTAAGTAATAAATTTTATAAATCTTGATAACCAAAATCAAACATTAACAATAAAGATTTTAAGTGACCTAAAGTGGTATCCCACATTCATGGATTGGAAGATATAACACTGTTAAAACATCAATTCTCTTCAAATTGATTTATGATAAAAACCACAATTACAATTTTATAAAAAATGACAATTTCATTCAAGAATTCCTATAGGATTGCAAGTATCTAAAATAGTCAAAATAACTGTGAAAAAGGACAAAATTGTATAATTCAAGTCACTGAATTTCTAGACTTATTCTAGAACCACATTAATTAAGATATTAAGCATAGAAGTGACCTAAACAGGGCTGGGGTTGTGGCTCAGTGGTAGAGCGCTCACCTAGCATGTGAGAGACCCTGGGTTCGATCCTCAGCACCACATAAAAA